CATAGCCTGCATAAACTAATGAGCAGGGTTTGTAGTTTCATTAGCAGTTCAGCGACTCTCTCAATAGACGATCTCGCTCGTTGCTCGTTGTCACGTGACGCATATGTTTACATCCGGGTTCGTGTAGTTTAATGTCCGGAGCTGCGCAGTGGAAGTCAGCTGACAGTTGTGACCAACCAGCGGGTGTAACATCTCCACCGAGGAGACCCTGACCGGAGGAAAAAGCCTCCCTCCGTCCACACTCACCGTATCAGCCGCGGAGCACCGGACAGCCGTCACCCCCGACACCCGGCCACGTCTTCCCGCCTCCTGCAGGATGAGTGTCGGCGCTCCGAGAGGCCTGGCCAGCTCGGGGCAGAAGCCCATCGCGGAGATCCTCCACCCGCTGTCCGCCGCCGAGGAGCCGCTCTCAGTCACCGTCAACGTCGGTGGGGACAAGGTAACGGGTCTGCCGGGGCTGCACCGACACCGGTTGGAAAACAACTGAGGGGGATGTAAGAGAGGACGGGTAACCAAAGTAAAGTCCACACACTGACCGGCTCTCAGGCTGGCGCCGGTGTTTACGGGTGAATCCATCAAGTGAGAAGTAGCAAACTAAAGGAAGTTTAATGGAGAAATCGGCATACACACTCATCGACGCCTCTTTTGGTTTAATGCTCATTATTTCAGTTTGCGTTCAAGGTTCACTGCCCATGATTAGAGTTTAGTGTTGAGCCTGAAGGGTTTGAGTTTGCCACTTAATCTCTGTTGCATGAAAGATTAAAAAAAAAACAACAACCTAAAACCAAGATACAGTGTCAGAGTCGCCCCAGCTGGCTGCATGTAATAAATCTTCATTTTTTTTTTTACAGTACAGCAACAAAACCATAAAAGCATTCAGAACAAACAGAGAAAAAAAGAAAAGAGAGACAGTAGGGTCTTAGTTATTATGTAAAAAATAAAGTATCTGTCTCTATCTAATGCACACATAAACACACACGCAAGGTTACTACAGTATGAGAAATGTGTTTACACCATTTAAATTGGATTATTTACACACATTTTGGTTAGAAAACAGATTACGCTCATTCCTCTTTCTGAGAGGGGACCTGACATCATCCCTGCCTTGGTGTGCTGTGTAAACAACGATGGACCAAGCAAACAAATCCCAAAGCTTTTTATTTAATTCTTCCTGCTGTTTTACTTAGGAGTAACAGGCTTAGCAACCACTTTGGTGTTGCAGTTAATTATTGCCAACAGGAGATGCTATGATGCCTCCTTGCAACAAGGGTTACTCTGCATGGTAATGTACTGTCCGTTGCCATTTTTATTTCACACAGGAATATTAAAAACCTCCACACAAATGAATAATGTAATGCCTGTAAGAGTTCTCCTGTTTACACCCACCACTAAGGAGGTTCAGTAATGGTCCTGGTCCTGGGAAGGTCTGTCAACACATTTCAATAGAACGTAATGAAAATCTTGTGCCAGAGAATAAGTGACTTGTTTTCTCCGTGGATCCGGATCCATGTGTAGATTTCTTTTTGATTTTTTGCTATTGTTTAATGAGGTAGTATACTTCACATACACTGTATCCCATGATTGTCTCTAACTTTGGGATTTTTAATGGAAATCCAGATCCAGTTGCACATTCAACATTTATAAACATTTCTTCTTATTAAAATGAAAATAAATAGACTAAAATATTTCAAATATGTATCTGTTTTTTTTATATCTTCCATGAGTATAATGCTGTGAAGATATTTTGTGTAGCATTTTTTAATTCTTTTTGTTCCTCCGGAGCACACAGTCTTAGTTTGTGTTTACGCAGAAATTTTTGAAGAGCTGGAATTTGCACTCCATGACTGATTGTGACATTTTTGACTCAGTCCCACAATATCAATAACATAGTAATATGAGATTTTGGGTACAATTTTTTTGTGTTTGTCGCTAAATTCAATCATATCCTTAAGTAGAGGTTGGTGTCATGTAATAATACTTTCACAGGAGACATCTGAACTCGTCACAGTAGGAAACACACAGGTGTAAATGACAAAATAAATAATGGCTGAGTTCCATACTGCTGCATGCTGGCTCACTGTCACATTGTCATGACTTACTGGGACACTTGAACACAACTATTGTTTTTGTTATTAGATCACCAACGGCTTAAATGTTTTTCACGCTGTCAAATATGAAAAACAAATGCAAACATTTAAGCTCTATCACAGTATTACAATAAGCACAACTCCACATTAGGCCCATTCCTGTATCACAGTATTGATTATTACATCCATACCTCTCCCAGCTCTGCTGTCTGTATTAAAAACAGATCTGGTTCCCAGTGTAATATCTCCAGATTCTTCCTCGCTGTCTGCCTGAGCGTGTCTGCGTTGCGGTGGCCTGGTTGTTCATTCACAGCGGTGTAATGATGCAACGCAATGCAATTATCCGAACTGTGATTACCAGTGCAGGTTAGCACCACAGTGTAAAAAAAGAGCACTTAAAACGTCAGCAGCGTTGCAGTGTGTGTGTGTGTGTGCACAGTAGCAGAGAGAGAGGGAGAGGTGTGAGGAAAAAGTGTGTGTGGTCAATGTATGGAGTTGCAAAGTCTGTGTGTAGGGGTAGCACTTTTTTGACTGATTGAATTGAAACGTCGCACACGCTCAGTTCAGGCAATTTGTGCAAAGTGTGTGTGTGGCAGAAAAAAAGTGATTTAGGTTGAACATTAGCTTCTCTGTTTTTTTTTTCCCACACACACCTTAACCTGTTTCAAAAAGAAGTTAGTTCCTCCTCATGTGAGGCATGATGTTTTTTTGTTTTTTTTAGATTTGGTTGGTTAGTTTTATTTTCACAACCACTTCTGGTGATGCAGCCCCGTTGCACAAAAAGATCCATGTAATTCTCTTTAGTCTAATAATAACAGGTCCAAAATAAACAGATTGGACTCTTCATTTGAGGAGACACTTTCCCCAGCCTCCGCTTTGTCCAGTTATTTGCCTTTTTGTAGATAGACACTCTTGCTGTGTTTGGATGGAAAATGCAGGGGACATTTGTTGTCTCTACTTGTTTCTATAAAAAACACTGAAAAACTGAAAGTGCTAGAGCAAGCATGTATTTTACACCAACGTACCTGTGGAATCATCTGTGAATACCAGTGAATAAATAGTTTTGCATCAGCTTGAAAATAATCCAGACACTTATAGAGCCATAAAGTGGGAGGATGCCATAAAGGACGCTTTATAAAGTAAGTCATCATCTGTTCATGGCACAAAAAAAGCAGTGTTTTCTTATAATCTAATTTTATTCTTATAATAAAATGAAATGTATTCTTTTGTCAACCTACATATGGTATAACTAGCCAAAGTTTTCCTGCAGTTGGAATTTTTTCATATTAAGGAAGTGTCCACAAATGCTCCATTTCTCTGTCCTCTATCATTCAGTTAGAAAGACAAGTGTCAGATGATGTGGGGTGTGTACGTAGCAGCGGCCTCAACAAGGGCCCCATTGACAGAAACAACTGCATCACCACGAGCATCAATCTATCACGTCTTTGTTTGACACGTTTCCCCATTGCAGCGTCTCAATTTGATGCCACCGTTCTCTGTCTCTGTCCGCGCAGGAAGCCGGGCTGACCAACGGCACGCCGGTCGACACGTCGAGTCCCGCCTCCGCATCCTCGCTGTTCAACAGGCTGCAGCTGGACGACGACCTGGAAGCAGACGTCCGGGACCTCTACGCCTCCACAGAAACCCGTGACCTTTTTGTCACAGTTGACGACCCAAAGAAGCATGTCTCCACCATGGAGACCTACATCACCTACAGAGTCTCCACCAAGGTCTGCTATTGGCTGGTGTCATGGTAACACTGTCTGCCTGGTTTTCTTTGAACAGTAGGAGCTGTATTACACTTTTATCTAATGGCATTATTGTGGTTGTTTAGCATATTTTAACCCACCTACTAATCATTTATACTTACAGTTACTGCTAAACCTGCACTACTTGGAGATAATCCGTCATAGTGAGCATTCAATCCTCGTATTACTTGTTACGTTTTGTTGCATTTCATTATTATTTTAAAAAACCCTCCTTTGTGATGTGTTCAAGAAAGTTCCTGCTAAGTGCTGGCTGAAACAATGTTTTCTGATGTAAGAAACTTCTATTTTTAGATCATATGCTGTAATTTTAATACACACAGATAGTATTTAATGGGATAAAACATGCAAAACAACGAGAATAGAAGATGTAAATAAGGTCCCCTGTGGAGTTTTTGATCACTAGCGCTATGGAGCAATGCTTTAATGAGTGGCTCCCTGTTTTGTTTGTATCTTGAGTGCATTAAAGGTGCACATGTACGTGATGCACAATTGTTCACGCTATTCCACTGATTGACAGTTTGTGGCGGTAACACGCCAAGAAACATAGCAGTGTGCCAACAAAAGCAGGCTAGCAAACATGCGTGTAAACAATGAAGGTTTCAAATTCTTCTAAATATCAGTGAGGAAATCTTTTATCATGAAGGAAATTCACTCAGCACATTTGTTAGGAACGCACACAATGCATTTTGGTAAAAAACACTGGATTGTTTGTCTACAATAAAACTCCACAGGACACCTTCAAGATCATAAAACATAGGCATTGTCAGACCAGTTCTGCACAATGCCAACCTTTGCCACCTACAGAAAACAAAAGTAATAGCAGCAGCAGTTTGGAACTACAGACATGCCAATGCAGAGAATGTATCTTAGGGGTAGACTAACAAGACAGTCTCTAAACGCCTCACTCAACAGAGACTGGGGACTTTCTTCTGGCTTTTGTTGCTAAAACTGGATGGAAACAATGAGAGAGTTAGAAAATGCATTGCTGAACCAACCAAAAGTCTTTAGGGTGAAGACGTGGTGCTGACATGCAGAAGCTGTGTGCTTGTAAACAGTGTCATACTATATAATGTTACATTTTCAGCTCTCTCTGTGTTACAAGGTGATCCAGTTTGTTTCACTACAGAGAAGAAGGGGGGAGAGCATTGTTTCAGGCAGTAGTAAGAAGTAAGGGGAGTTTGTTAGCAGCTGATCAACCACTTACTTCGCATTTAGAAATCCCCAGACTGTTGGTAGGTGCTGAGATCCCCCATCGTCTGGTATCACAAGATCACGTAGGCGCGATGGAACAGATTAGGTTAGGAAAACACATGTCAACCTTCCCATGAAACACATATATTCCAGAGGGGAGATGTAGTCACTGACTCGTGTTCATCAGGTCAGGTGGATCCTCAGTTTCATCCTTCAAATCTCTCTGCTGGTAAACAGAGCAGGAGGGTCTCACAGCCACCGCTCTTGCCTGACAGAACTTAATTTGTTCCGACCTCCAGCAGAGAATCGTAGCTTTGGCTGCCTTTCCATCGTGTAATGAAAGAAACAGATTCAGGGGGGGGGGTCAGCGACGCTGCCACGAGCCGTTGGGGGGCGTCATGGCGACAGTTGCTATGTGCGCTGTGGTGCTTCAGCTCAGAGGCCCTAGACAAATATCACAGCCCAATATGAACACAAAGTGTTCATTGAGAGCATGTGGGGGGGCGTCTCTTAACACCGTATTATCAGAGAGAGAGATAGTGTGTGTCCTGTCAGCTGTATCTCAAGGTCGATAAGAAGTAATCCTAAATTTAGAGATATGGCAACCCTCCAGTCTAATGTACAAATATGAATTCTACTAGTATGTATGAACGTTTATGAACTACTTACACAATGAAAACTGATCCTAAATAACTAAACTAGTCGTAAATAAACGTATGTTAATGCTGGGAAGTAAGACTCATCGCTACTTATCAAAAAAGTCTTGTATTTTTGTAGTTTTTAAATTAATGGTCAGAATTTGACTTTTAGTAGGTAATTTAAATACTGTATCCTCCTAGGTAACACAGCAAATA